TCACAATATAGCTGCTAAGGTCCTATTCGGTAATTCTTTAACAAATTTAGTCGTTACTTATTTTGCAAAAACTTATTTGTTTTATTTTTGTTACAATAACAAATGCGATTTTAACAACTTTTCAATCGATAAAACTTAGAGGCTGCATATCACCGGTACCGTCCGTTTTAATGTATTTTTGTATTCTAACATTTTAAGATAAATTTGCTGATTTATGTAGTAGAAGGCAATGATTTAAATTATACTTTTTGGGAAAAATGAAACATTATAATTCTTTTTTATATGCTCATTAAGGACAACATTATAATATATTTAATATGTTTTAGAAAATTATTATAATTATTGATTATAATAATTAATAATATTATTAAGAAAATTAAAACTATATCCGCATAAATCGAGATAAAAAATCAGGTAAGTCAATAAACAACATATATATTATCTTATTGGAAATACATTGAAAAAGACCATCTAAACTACGCAACTGTCGTACACATTTACTTTTACATATGTATGTACATGCAACGAATGTGGAAACAATAGCACGTGCTATTTTAACCGAAACATACCAGACTAATAGCAAGTGGTAACAAATAAACAAGTTAAAATGATCAAAGAATGACGCTCACCAATGGTTATGCTTCATCTGTCTACATGCCTACCTGCAACTTGAAGTAGCAACCCCCTTTTTCCAGTGATAGCATAAGGTGCAAATACCGGAAATAACAATAGTTCCGTACACCATGCACCATACCATTTGTCGGTTTTTATTTAATGGCAAAACAATTAATGTTGGTACGACGAGGGTTGCTCTAGAATGGTGTTTCAAAATACAACATTTGAAAACGAAAGAATATTGAATATTTATGTATTTGTATATTTATGTATTTGTATATTTATGTATTTTATTAGGCTGATATTTAGCAAGATATGGTAAAGAGAAGAACAGATTAACTTTTGTAAACTCTGTCAAAACATTAATTTGTCTGTTTATAAGTGCGATGTAATTTTTATTAATTTTTCAAAAATAATTGTTATTGAATAAAAAAAAAATTGAAAATATTTTTTTCTTTCGACATACATAAATGGAGCCTAAGTACCTTATTCCAAAACGTCGTTATAAAAAATGTAAGAAAAAGGATGAAATTTAAAGGAGAGGAGATTTTTATTACAATATAAAAACGAAATTTGCATTCTTATACCTTTTTAGACAAAAATTTTGTCTTCATATGATTTGAACGGAATGCTGTACTACTGCTACTGTACCTTTGATTCTGCGGACTTAACTTGAATAATTTATTGAAGGTTTTTTTGCTGTATGGAATATTAAAGCAGCTATCCAACTGCCTCATTTTTTGCCTAATGGACATTGAACATGCTGAATATTTAGGTCAGTGAGCCTATAAATCCCCGCACCAATAACTCAAGGTCCTAGGAGTCCACCATTTAATGTGAACTTCACATATGATTATCTTCGTATCATACTTAAGTATGCTGGGACTCAAGACAAAATTAACACAAACTCTGCTACCTCTCCCATAAAGGGTCAATATTTTGAGTAATAGATAGATATGGTATATAAACGCAGTACGATGTTCCACTATTCCTGAAACCTGCCCCACCAACCATCAAAATCTTCAAAAACTTAAATTAATATGCAGGGGGAGATGAACAAACTGCAATCAACTTCAGACTACTGTCATTTCTAAGCCACTCGTCCGACAGCTGTTAAAATTATTCCAGTGACACCTCACTATATTGTTTACAAGCGTACAAAATCATTTTGGCGAGAATTTTCCAGAAAAAAAGTTATTCGTGATGGAATTCAAGCGTGATAGTGTTATTTCTTTATATTTGGCTGGAAAACCACAAGTGGCTATCATTAGAGCTCTCCAGCATTTAAATGTGAATAAATCTTTTGTGTCTCGTACCATCGCTCGTTACCGTGATACTGGTAGCGTAGTCAAGACGTCAAGAAAGTGGACGGAAGAAACAGCAACATCAGCATAAATGGTTCGAAAAGTAAAGAAGCGACTGCGACTCGAAACCCGCGTCGCAGTAGCCAAAAAATGGCTCGTGAGCTGAACATATCACAATATTTCATTCGGCAAATGTTGAAAAATGAGCTCGGGGTAGAGGCATTGAAATTCCAAAAAGTGTAAGAAGTTACACCACAACAGAAGGAAAGTAGAGTCAGAGTTCGGCTCCTCTTTGCCGAAAGTGGTGAACTGCCGAATTTGGTTTTCTCCGATGAGAAAATATTCGTTGTCCAGCAGTTTGTAAACAAACAAAATGATCGTGTTTACTTGCCAAAGAGGTCAGCTGAAAATGTGTACTTCGGTTGGCTACCAGAACTCAAGCGCCGGCCATGGTGATGGTGTGGGCAGCCATAACAGCCGATGATAGCTCTCCGCTCGTATTTATCGACTGTGGCATCAGAATAAATGCCAAATATTTTCGCGAAAATATTCTGGAGAGTGTATTAAAGCCTTGGGCACGCAAACATTGTGGCCGCAGACCTTGGACATTCCAACAAGACTCAGCACCATCGCACTCAGCACGTGCCACCCAAAAATCGTTACAAAATGAGGTTCCTCGCTTCATTTCCAGCGCACAATAGCCATTAAATCTCCGGATACCAATCCGTTGGACTATTGTATCTGGAGTATTTTGGAAAACAAGGTTGGCACTAAAAAATATCAAAGTGTCGATCACCTCAAGCAAGCGCTTCGCTGGAAATGGCCAACATACCGCAGAGCAAAATTCGGGTAGCGTGTGACGGTTTTATTAGCCGTTTGGAGGCCATAATTCGTACCCAAGGTGACCAATTCGAACAAATCTAATTTATCTCTAAATAATTAATTTTAATTTAATTTAATACAATTAAAAAAAATGTAAAAATTATTGTTTTCGACTTTGTTGCAGTTTTTTTATCTCAACCTGCATTTTAAGAAACACCAAAAGGTGAATTCGGTCGAAAAGTCGATCCAAACATTATACAATGTGATATGGTTGTTGATAACTGTCTCTTAAATACCCGTACCTTTAATCTCAAGATCATAGAGGCGTTATGCGAAGAAACCCCTATTTAATCGAAAATTTTGAAGTTAAGTCTTCAAATCCATCTGCCGATATCGATTTCATATTTGTGGTACCCACTGTAACTTTCGAAGGAAGTTTAAACATTCTGACCCAAATTTACCACATTATATATGTCTGTCCATTTCTACCTCTGTCCGTTTTTGTTATGTGGTGCGGGAAATGTGTTGTATCGGTCCACCAACTTGCAAACCAAATCCGCTGCACTTTGGCACTTTAGGCTCTGGATGAACAGACTTTCTTTTGACAAAGAAGTGCAATTTAATCAATTGGTATAAGCCCTTATCTTGCGATCCCAACTTCGATGTCAACCTATAGCAGCTGGATTCAAAGTCGTAGTCTATATCTCAAACCGGATTCGGAGAGTGAATAAATATTACCCGTTTAGAGCAAAGGCATTCTACGTCTCTGGATATACTTCAATTTCGATTCTGATTTGCTGGACGAAGTCGACAATTACTCCGAAGCCCTCTTACTATTTAAAGAACTTTGAAGATCTCAACTGCAGGGGATATGAGCTTTCTCAAAAAAAAAAAAAAAAAAAAAAATTATAATAATAATAAATAAATCCCAATTTTTAAACCAATTGTTTCGCAATAATTTGGTTTTTTTATACCCTCCACCATGGGTGATACATTGTGATATATTAGATTCGTCATTCCGTCTATATCACTTTCAAATAGTCATCCGAAACCCCATAACATGTATACAGAGTGAGATAAAAAAAACTACAACAAAGTCAAACGCCATAATTTTAAATTTTTTTTTTTAATTTTATTGAATTAAGGCAAAAAATGTCGGAAATAGCATCAAATTTTAGGATAAGTTTAGATTTGTTCGACCTTTGGTCAATGAAACCTTCATACGCTGCCCGAATGTTACTCTGCGGTATTTTGACCCATTCCCGGCGAAGCGATTGCTTGATGTGATCGACACTTTGGTATAATAATAATATATACATAGGGTAAGTGCGCCTAAGTTCGGCATGTCCCAGTAGTCGGCAGTTTTGAAATTTAATCTTAAATAACTGTCAATTACCAAATAATGAAATAATTGCAGAAGAATGTCAACAGTGTTCTCTGCTCTCTTTCTCTAAAAAAAACAATGAGCTCCTATCATTTATTACGAGAGAATAACGGTTTTCGTCAGTGAGTGTCTTACGCGTGCGATAGTGCTTGTTTGTAAAGAAAAAAAAAATAGTGGTGGCGTCAACTTAATAATCAATTTAAGTACATTAAATTTAATACTTTTGGAATCAGAAATATTTTATAATAGTAAATAACAGTCTAAACATCATTTTATAACTTAAAAAAATACAATTCAAGCATTTCTCTGTTATATTATTAAATGCCGACATTAGGAACAGAAAAAAAGAGATTTGCCAGTAGTCGGCAGGGGGTGTCGATTACTAGAAAAATATCATATTTGACCAATTTCACCAAAACTTGAGAAAAGTATTAAAAAATAATCCAAAAACTACTCAAATAAAAAAATAGTTTTGAGTCGGCAGTTGCTTTTATATGTGCTTTTCGACCAACTTTTCTAAATTAAGTAGGTTTTTTAAATCAGCTATTCGACGTTTAAGATAGCGGTGGCATTTTTGAAAAAAAAATGTTGGCTATCTAAAGGAAAAAGATCAATTCACAAATTCCAAATGTAAGAATGGTATTTTTTTCTTTTTATTTATTTTAATTGAAAATCCATACGTTACCATACTATTCTTCTTCTTATACCTATATTTGGTTTAGAATGATATTTAAATAAATAAAACACTATTTAAAAACGAAATTAATTTCAAATTCTGTGAATTAGTAATACAGCATTATTTTATACTATTTGAAATAAAAAAAATATACAAAATAATATTTTTTTTACTGAAATACCATATGCCGACTACTGGCAAATAGATATGCCGAGCATTGGAAAATGGTGCCGACTACTGGCAAAATACTACTATTTTGGTAAAATTGCAAATTTTGCCAATTTAATAAAAACAAATTAAATTTTTGTTTATTTTTTCGAAAAGTAAACAAAATTTGGAATCTGAAAAACTTTATTTTTCTGCAATTGAAAGATTTCCCTCAGAATGTTGAAAGATTGAAAAATCGAAAATACTAAAACTGCCGACTACTGGTACACTTACCCTATACACCAGATTTTAAATGTCATAGCCTCGTATTTTTAATGTCAAGTCTTAAATCAAAATCTCAATACTCCCTCCTATTCAATAAAATATTCAAATGAGTGGTGAACATTTTTGGAAAAACATAACAAATAAATAACAACATTAGCAGTAATACATCCACCACCACCACTACCAGCACTATCATGACGGTTTTAATCGTCACCTTTATTACCACTGGTAATGGAAGAAAAACTGAACAGCAACAACACCAGCTAACAAAAATCGCCAACTGCAACACGCAATAGACTTGGCTAAACACAACATAAACACCCAACGGAAAAAAGGGATATTCTTCTCGAAGATAGGGGACAATAAAAAAAATACCAAATAAACAACTGCTGAAAACCCCGACCAACAATAAATGAAAATGAAAATTAGTTTTTTTTTTGTTATTTGGGAATTATGTATAAAACGACAACAATAACAATAGAAGAGTAGGGAGTGGGGGAGGGAGAGAATATAAACAATCACTCAAACCCAAGGAGAAAACAAAGCCGGGGGAGGGTTTTCGAGCTAGAAAACAAAAATTTTGGTTTGGTGAACACTTGTCGTTCGGCTTTTCGCCATCTGGTTGGCTGTCTGTTTATCTGCCAGGTCGTTTGATCCTTGCTCAAAAACTAGCGGACAAGTGCATTTGATAATGCCATTGTTCGGTGTTGGCCAAACGACTGCGCGAATGAGCCAAGTTAAACGTAGCGTGGCCGCATAACCAACAATCAACCCCCGACTATGAGCGAGCAACAAAATTAGGAACGACTTCAATCGATTCACTTGCCCCGTATTTGCGACACAGGCTAGTTGTGTACCTGCTGCCTGCTAACCTGCACACTAATACAGTCAATTTATATAGTTATATTTGTTCGGTGGATATACTATATGCTATATAGCAACGGCCAGTATTTGAGTTGGTTACCTTGGTAGCACCCTCAATTTTTAGGGAAGTTAACAACGGTCGCAGCAGCAGCGGCAGCGGTGGAACGAACAGTGACGGTGGAAAAACTCCAAACTCACATACATATATCCCAAGGAAAAACGTATCCTTAAAACGATTTGTAAACGTATACAGAACACCAAACGAATAACGTCATACTAGGATTTTCTTTCTCCTCTGTTTTGAGAATAATTAAAAAAAAAAGAAAAAAATATTCTGAAAAAATCGATTTGGAATTATTGCCAGGAAAAAAAACCTTGGCCCATGTAGTTTCGGATTCATTTTTAGCACTTGGATTACGCGTTTTAAATTTTTTTCACCCGATTTCCAGACGAAATCGAACTCAACCATACTCTTGGATAATTAGCACGAAATTAATCACACTTGGCAAATATGACCACGAGATTAGCTGCGGCACCTAGAAATTTTGTATTAACAACGGCTGGCAATACAACAACGGCCGCAACGGGAATCATAGACACAACATCGTCGTCGTCTCCTACACTGACAGTGGTGTCAAGTGAAACAACAGCCGTGGATACTATAACAACCGATACAAATGTTTTGCCCATTATTAATGCCACAACAAACGATATAACAGCCGTGCCGATAGAAACCCTGGTAACTAGGGACTCGACATCGCTGTGCTTCAATGGCGAGGAGTATCAGTTTATTACCACCGAACAATTGCAAGATATTATGACGCAAAAAACGCTGGTTACAACGGCGGCAGTAACGACATCAGCAGCAGCTACCACAACGGATCTGCAACAACAACCGGCCAACACCAGTCACCAACAACATAATCCTCATCATCAGCATCACCTTCATCAGGAAATAAATGGCCAGCAGTCTCCGTTATCATTGACCACAACGGAGGCCGCCACAGGGCCGACTAGTGTCCATCAGGACGAGGTGGCCGTAATTAATGTGGTCCTGCCCATGGATAATGCAGATGGCTCCAGCAACGAGGCACATCAGGCCACAATGGATACTTTGGCTGCCATTAAGGACGGTGTGGTTGATTTGGCAGCCCATCATCACAATCATCACCACACAGACCCCGAAGAAGGCAATTGTCCTCAGTTTATAACCGTCACGGTTTCAGCCCAAGATGCAGGACAAAATTACCAGGTCCAATATGTAGATGCTGAACAGCTGTATCATGCCAACTCGACACAAACTCAAATCTCCTATCCATTTTGTCCGCTGCAGGAATATCAAACACATCATCAAACATTTTACACCACTGCGGGAGATTTCAATGGCATTGCTGACCTTTCCATTAATGGGAATGGTGAAAACGGCACCGCCTCAATAATGCCCTATCTGGTGCCGGTGGAGGAGAATATGCTGCTAAACACCTCCTCCGAGGATGTACACAGCTCTCCACAAACACCCAATTCCACCTCCACCTCGGCCATGGGTTCGCAATGCTTGAATTTGATAACGGATCATGACGAGAATTCCATGGAGAACAATGAACACAACCATTTAATGGGTGGTTCCAATAAAATTGCTTCGGCCACAGTGAAATGGCTCTCCCAGAACTATGAAACCGCCGAGGGTGTGAGTTTACCCCGTTCTACACTCTACAGCCACTATATGCAACATTGTCAAGAGTGCAACATTGAACCGGTGAATGCTGCCAGTTTTGGCAAGTTAATACGTTCCGTATTTGCTGGTCTACGGACCCGGCGTTTGGGTACCCGTGGCAACTCGAAATATCATTACTATGGCATACGCATCAAATCTGATTCTCTGCTCAAAAATCATGAGGAAGAGAAATCGCCCCAGTCTCAGAAAATTCTACAACATTCCAAACACTCAGCAGCCGGGGTGGTCAGCAGTTCCATGCACAATTCTCAGAGCACCACATCGCCGGGAAAATTACAAAGTGGCAATACCAGTGATTCTTCACCAACATCTTCCTCATCCATCTCATCGCTGCACACTTCAAATCGAAAGTTGTCCAAGAAAATAATTTTCAAACCTGAAACCTTTGCCACCTGCTCACAGCTGTTGGGTGATGGCACAGGTGCTGTGCCCTGTTTTCCACTCATCGAATTGGATCACACCTTTCCACCGGAGATAAGCATTCAAGATGTGGATCTGTTTCGTGTGCGCTATCAGGAACATTGTGAGAAATTTTTGGAGGCCATATTAAATTTGGAATTTAATACCATTGAGTATTTGTGGCGTGATTTCTGGCAACAGGCGTCCGAACATCATCATTTGGACAAGTATTTGAGTAAACGGAAATGGGATTTCCTCTGTCTCTCGACGACAATACAAAAATTTGTCCAAGATATTGATTATCAGTTTTTCCAAAACATGGTTGATGTCATAATACCGGATGTCCTCAGATCCATGCCCAATGCCCTGACCCAGGCCATACGTAATTTTGCCTCCAACATGGAAATTTGGTTGAGTGACTGCATGTCCGGTGTGCCGGAGCAAATGATACAAATTAAAACCTCAACGGTATCGGCTTTTTGTCAAACCCTACGCCGCTACACATCGCTCAATCATTTGGCTCAAGCCGCCAAAGCGGTCTTGCAAAATAGCGCACAAATTTCACAAATGCTCAAGGATCTGTCGCGTGTCGATTTCCACAATGTCCAGGAGCAGGCCGCCTGGGTATGCCAATGTGATCCACAAATAGTGCAACAATTTGAAAATGATTTCAAAACAACGCTACAACAGAAAAGTTCCCTCGAACAATGGGCTTCCTGGTTGCAATTGGTTGTGGACACAGCGCTACAGGAATATCAGGGTAAACCTACATATCCCAAAGCGGCCAGGCAATTTCTGCTGAAATGGTGTCTCTACAGTTCAATGGTAATACGGGATCTCACGCTACGTTCGGCACCAAGTTTTGGTAGTTTCCACTTGATCCGCCTGCTTTACGATGAGTATATGTTCTATTTGGTGGAGCACAAAATTGCCCAGGCACAACAGAAAACCACAATTGCTGTTATTTGTGATCGCAATGAGCGGAATTTGAATATTGAATTGGATTATCAATTGGAGTTTATTAATTCAGCTGATACGTCATCTTCGTTGCACTCGGAGCCAGAGGCAAAACGTATGAAACACAATTGAAAATGTCAAAATGGGAGATAAGTTGATTACTGAGTGAGAGAGAGAGTAAGGAATCCATGAAACACAAATAAGAATACTATCTCTAAGAGTTAAGTTGATAACTGAGAGTTAGTGAGATATCCACAACAAAAACTCTTTGTGAAAACAAACTCATAATATTTGAATGAGATTCTCACTAATGAGAATAACAATTAATAATTCTCTGTAACCGGAGAAAAATCAGTGCAGTGCCTAAAATAAGAGAACAAATTAAAGAACATTAAACTATAATAAAAATATATAAGAATAATATAAAAATCAGTGCATTATCTAAAAAATATAATATATAAAAACTTATATATTTAGTTTTATAAAAAAACGAATTTCCTGATTTTAATATGGAAATATTTTTAATTAGAAGATCATGTAGAGAAAAATGCAAAAAAAAAAAAAATATATATATATATTGGGAATATTTTGGAGATTAAACAAGAAAATATGTGAATCTATAAAAAACTTTAAAATGAAAAATGCCAATTAAAAAAAAAAAAACATTGAAGAAGTGAATTTTTGTTGTTATTCTATCATAAATGGGACTCCAATTATAGACATTTTTGCTATTGGATGAGTGTGATGAAAAGATTTATAATTTTTAGATAGTTTGAAGTGTGTTTTAAGTAAAAAGTGGTCTGAAAGTAAAATAGTCGCAACATTTATTTGTAACCCTCATCTTGTATTCAAAAGAAAAAAAAAGCAAATCCGGTATGTCGTGGGAATCACATTTTTTTTAGAATTAATTTCTGTAAATTTCTATCTGTAACTTTGCGAAGATAAAAAAAAACATTAGAAAAAAACTTTTACAAAATTTTCCTTGTTTTGTGCATTTCAGATAAAATGTCTGTGTTTCAAATGTGACCCGATAAAAGAAGTTTATTTAAGGTTTATATCTTCGCAATCAATTGGTAGTCTTTTTTATCACATTGATTTCTCTACAGAATATTCTAAGAAATAGTAAAGAAAAGAAAAATAATTTTCTCATTTATATCCTGAGAAAGGGACAATTTCTTATCAAACAAGTTTAGTAAAAAACATATTTTTACACCTTTAGCCATGTGGCTGCGAATGGTACGTATCATTTGATATTGCCACAGTGTGCCTCATAGAAATAACAACTTAAGGTCCTATGTCTCTTCGGCATATTTTTAGTCAATCGAGCGTTGTCCGACCGCGTGTCTGGCTAACCATAACCTCTATAAAATATATGCGGCTCTTTTCGAACTTCGCACCTCCCAATCGTTTTACCATTCGGCCCTAGGTCTCTTTGAACGAAAACCGTTTTAACACATTTGTACTCGAACTAGCGGTGTCCGTCCTAACGCCCATTAAATGTATGCGAATCTTGGTGAACTTCGCACCTCCGAATCGTTTTACCAATACATCTGGTGTAAAGATGAAATATATAGGACCACTTCTTCTGGAACCTCTCACATTATCGATCTTCGCATCTTCATCTTCGTAAAGATGAAATATATCGGACCACTTCCTCTGAAACCTCCCACACAGAGGTTAAAAGTTTAGAAGAGTTTAACCTCTTGTAATGAGTTTTTGTTTGAATGTCCTTCAAATTAGTTAATTCCCACAATCGAAAACCACTAAGCTATTCCCCTAATATTAGTGAACCAATAACGAAAAAATACAACAACAACTTTTAGTAATCCAAACATCGAGTGAGATTTGAATTTAATACATCTCAATTTATTAAAGAACTTACATATATTTTTGAAATTTTTGTCAACTGAATATTTTTTTAATTGGCTGATATTCCAGCAACAAACAAAAACAAGCAATAATTATATTGACGAAAAAAATATTTATATATTACCAAATAACATATCCTTAGGAATAAAAAATCTCATAGGGGATCGAATATTTGAAAATTAAATAACATTTCGAAGTAAATTATGAAGCAAAACAATTTTAAATTTAAAGCAATAAAAAATGTAGATAATTTTAACAACAGTTTTCAAATAAAAGAAACATAAGTGCTCAAAATAAAAAATATAAATGATTAAAAGAAAAATTAAAAAGAAATATTTTAAATTATATTATCGTTGAAAAATAAGAGTGATCAGCATATAAAAAATTATGAAGGAATTTGCAATTAAAAATACAATAAAATATTGGCAATTTAAATCATTTTATGATAATTTCATCTTTTTTTGTAATTTTTTATTTATTTTAATATAAAATACAACAATCGAAAAAAAATAATTCGATCCCAACCATATTTCTACAAAATCTATTATTGGTGGCCTTAAAGTGCAATACAATTATAACTACAACTATTACTCAAAATCGTAACAAATTTAAAGTGCCTTCATTCATTTGTATTTTGCTCACAATAACATATATTGATGTTATTTTAGAAACAACCAAAATACTCAAATTTATAATGCGCTCAATATTATTACAAATATAGTTTAAGATGAACATGAATTTCATATAACCAACCAAAAAACACACAAAATGGAAACCTATTCTAGTCGAATATTTTATAAGTAACTTATAATTGTATTAATAGAAAAAACACAATGTATGAATTTTCATATTGCAGTTTAACAATAATAATAAAAAACAATTAGCAATACTATGCAATTTTTGGAGTTTCTTTAAATTGGAAATGGGACTAGCGTAGATTATAAAGAGGAAATACATATAGGGTGAGATAAAAAAACGGCAACCAACTTCGGACTGCTGTCATCTCGAAGCCACTCGTCCGACAGCTGTTACAATTATTTCAGTGGAAGAGGAAGTACATACAGGGTGGGATGAAAAAACGGCAACCAATTTCGGACTGCTGTCATCTCTAAGCCACTCGTCCGACAGCTGTTAAAATTATTCCAGTGACAGCTCATTATATTGTTTACAAATTTTCCAGAAAAAGTTATTCGTGATAGAATTCAAGCGTGATAGTGTGATTTCTTTATATTTGGCTGCAAAACCACAAGTGGCTATCGTTAGAGCACTCCATCATTTAAATGTGAATAAATTTTTTGTGTCTCGTACCATCACTCGTTACTGTGATACCTGTAGTGTAGTCCGACGTAAAGGAAGTGGACGGAAGAAAACAGCAACATCAGCAATAATTGTTCGAAAAGTAAAGAAGATACTTGATCAAAACCCGCGTCGTAGTGGCCGAAAAATGGCTCGTGAGATGAACATATCGCAATATTTCATTCGGCAAATATTGAAAAATGAGCTCGGGGTGAAGCCATTGAAATTCCAAAAAGTGCAAGAACTTACACCGCAACAGAAAGAAAATAGAGCTAAAGGGTTGATTCGCTTGGCCGAATTTGGTTATCTCCGAAGAGAAAACATTCGTTGTTCAGCAGTTTGTAAACAAACAAAATGATCGTGTTTACTTGCCAAAGAGGTCGGTTGGCCACCAGAACTCAAGCGCCGGCCATGGTGATGGTGGTCGCTCTCCGCTCGTATTAATCGACCGTGGCATCAGAATAAATGCCGAATATTATCGCGAAAATATTCTGGAGGGTGTATTAAAGCCTGTGTCGATCACCTCAAGCAAGCGCTTCGCCGGAAATGATCCAAAATACCGCAGAGCAACATTCGGGCAGCGTGTGACGGTTTCATTGGCCATTTGAAGGCCATAATTCGTGCTAAACGTGATCAATTCTAACAAATCTAAACATATTCTAAAATTTCATGCTATTTCCAACATTTTTTGCTTGCATTTAATAAAATTAAAAAAAAAATGTATAAATTATGGCGTAATGGCTTTATTGCAGTATTTTTATCTCACCCTGTAAAATACCGATATACATATTGGTATACGCAAAATTAAATAAAGAAAATCTAACATTTATATCCAGTTTTACGGGAAATCATAAATTCCATATTCATATCAGGTTTCTGGTTGAGAGACATTTATAGATATAGAAAGAATCGCTGACTTGTTTCGCAAGTTATGAAAGATAAAAGTATTGAAAATTGTGATCGTTTGTGGGTGAGGTATTAGAAGGGGTTCGCAGATATTACCTTCAGAACAGATCTTGTGTTAGCAAAAATGTATGTGGGAAATTTGAAGTGAGTTGGATGCTTATTCCACTTTTTTTTGAGCGCTTGTTTTTCAAAATCATGATTCCTATGTGGGGAATGTACCAGAGGAAATTGTCCCATCTCTACCACCTTTATAACAAATCTTGTGGTGATGGAAATATTGAGATGTACCAAGTCTGAATGGAATCGTGTGTTAGTTCCGCGCTTTTTGTGCTTCATGGATATTCAAAATGTTGACCCTTTGCGGGGGAGGTACCAAGGGAGTATACCGATATATCCCATATTCACACCTTTTTATCAAAAAAAAAAAAAAAAAAAAAAAATATTCCCTAATTCTTTTGATCAATTTTTCCTGGGTATTTTTTCGAGTTGATTCTTGAAAGTAATAAAAAATTTGTCTGTTTTATTTTCGACATTTTTCCGAATTCTCTGCAAGATTTCTTATAATTTCCCTCTCCAGTAGACAGTCTGGTAATGAAAAATTCCAAGTGGATTTGTGTGTACTGAGTTTGTACATCAAAATCTCAAAAGAGTTTCGGGTTCTCAGGCCAAACTTTTTAAGGCCTTTGTATAGCTTTTTGGATATCCCACACCAAACGGATATTTTGAAGGTCTCAACCATATTATTAAACTGAATCTGTCGCCAATTCATTATTTTTGTTTGAATTGACATATGGCTAAAGTCCCAAAATTTAAAGACATTTAGACATCTGAAACTTTTTTATACCCTCTACAAACTCCCCGAAGTACTCATGTTAGACCGTGTATAGTAGGAAGGTGCAGTTCCTTTATCGGAACATGGCCTATATAGACATTATTATTACTTTGTTTTGTATTCGGAATGGTTGAGTTTGTAATGGGATCAATCTTCTGTGAAAGTTGCAGAATACTGGTTTTGATATATTAATCATATAGCCGCAGTCAGACAAGCTGAATAAGTTACATAATAGGCCTTCTGACCTCACAATTTTATATGCTTGAGTTTGTTAGAAGTTTGACAAAGCCGAAACTGAAGATGTTTTTCTTCTATTTTCATAAATTTAGTTTTTTTTCGGTGCGCTACTGCCAATTATTACCTCACACTCTGTTGTGTCACCATATGTTGACCAAATGACTCTACACCGATCCATGATGCAACCAACCTAAACAAAATTCCCATCGTATATCATCTCAAATGAATGACACCCCCGAATGCACTGTGAAAATGCTTCATTCAAATGTTCGATTTCAAACATGAAAATA